ATGGAGAATATCGTGTTCCCGGCAATCAATGAAAAAGTGTTGGCTGTGCTAGATGGACAAAAGAAAGCCTTCGATTCAAAGCACCATATCGTTGATTTCCCCGTGAACTGTGAAGTGGTTGTTGTCATACCCGCAAAAGAGCGTACCAAACTTGACACACCCCATGATGGCCCTTATACGGTTGTTCGAAAGACCAAAGGCGGTAGCTATGTTCTCAAAGACGTTAGAGGCAAAATACTTGATAGAGACTATGCACCCTCGCAACTCAAACTCATTTCCCAGGACTATGATCTTGACTCACCTTGCGACGATCTATACATAGTTGATCGCATCGTAGCTCACAATAAGATCGCTCCAGGAACATACGAGTACCAGGTACGTTGGGAAGGTTATACACCTGACGATGACACTTGGGAACCAGAGTCGTCATTCACCAATGTGCAGACGATACACGATTACTGGAAAAGACTTGGTGAAAAGCCAGAGCAAAAACCAGAGGAGTTGCAGTCCAAAGTCAAGACGCGCAAAAATGGCGCACCTAGCAAAAGTAGCTCACGGAAGCGGAAGCAACAGCATCCGAAAAACTCCGTGCGCAAATCTCAACGTCTCCAACATTAATGCATCATCATCTTTATCTTCGCTCCCACATGTACATACTTACATTCCTATTGCACACAACCTTTCTACACAATGGTACCATGAACCTGGAGGAGGGCAATGTCGTGTATATGGATCGGTTAAGGTACACATCATGTATTCATTATCATCATCTTTATCATTGTATATACAAAAGACAAGCACATAAGCATACAAGAGATGATACACAAGCGTGGATCATCATATACAACTCAGCCCGTTACTCATTTACGATATAGCTTATTATTGGTAGAAAAGCTTTACTCTTTAGCATCCGCCTAGTTATAGTACTCACTACTCAGAGGTAGATCGATAGAAAGACGTCTCTTTTCCCAGACACACACTTTCAGAGTAAACAGCGATCTCACAGACTTTGTTTGTTATACGTTTTTATCCACACACACATACACACATACACACATACATCTCAATTAGCAGCATCAATCGGCGGCAAAAGAAAAAGCATCAGAGCATCTTCAAAGAATACCCAACGACAACACAAGAGTGACCACCAAGCCAGCAGTAGTAGTAGTAACAACAAAAGGAAACGCAACAAATCAACCAAACCCCCTTCCCTAACAAAGAAGTGACCCCTATTGAACATCCTCATTGATAACCTCATTGATAGCCTCATTGATAACCTCATTGTTTTCGTCTACATCCCATTCTTTTTGTACCAACCAATAAATACTGCATTAGTAGCTGAACAGCCAGTGGATGTTATTAAGGGATGTGGATGAAATCTACTGATTAACTAAGCGGGCACTGAGATAGTTTTGGTCAAATCTAGATATTGTATCGGCTATCATGAGGGAGATATCATTACAATCTATGTTAAATCTACTGGCTTTAATGAGAAAATACTTTAGATTGCAATGGATCGAATCTATAATTGGATCTTTGAAAAAGCTGGGATTCAGCGTTCAAATGCATACTATGTACATAGTCCAGATTCTACGTATAGTTTTCGCACAAAAATGCTAGATCATCACACGTATGTGAATGGGATCTGTGTGAGCATGCTGTATTTAAAACATATGCCGGCAATCATGTGACTTACTGGTTAAGATAGGAAGTTAAGTCGTCCTTCAACGTGGTTTTTTCTACCAGAGTGTAGTACTTCTCTACTGCTTATTCGAAACTTGCATTATCGCGGGCATTGATCATCTTCGTGACAGAGGACATTATACCGTCTTCGACTTTGGAATTTTCTTTTTTATTCTCTTTGCTTGTTGATGGTTTGCTTTTAGAGGTTGTATTGGATGCTTTTTCATCAACCCCATCAACAGAGTGCTCTTTATCATCCTTGACTTGTTGGATTTTGATCTTCTTCTCAATTCGCTTTCGAAAGTTTTTTCCAACATGCCATGAACAGAGCATATGATGAGAATGAGGAAATGATCTCCCAAGCGCCTTCTGAAGTTGTTCGTCATTATCGGTGACAAACAAACTGGGTTGATGTGCTTCTTCGTCTCCAAACTACTTGCTTGAGTTTTTCTGTAACCCAGTCGTACGACTTGGCGTTCTCCTGAGACACTAGTACGCATGCGATAAGGAATGTACGCAGTGCTGTTTCACCAACATTGCTGACACCAACGACATTAACGAATGGCATGTTATGTGCGTTGGTTTTATACGTAGCATCCAAAAGCACCACTTCCCTGAATCGTTGGGCCATCGCAACGTTATCTGGGTGCGCAACAAAAAGAGACTTGAGTGTGTGGCCATCTCGCTTAGTTTCATAGTGGACAATGTAGTCGTTATCCGCCAGGTACAAAACCAGTGGTTCAATGGTATTCTTAGATGTCAATGGATCCTTTCGGGATTGCTTGAAATTATATATGGCAGTGATGTTGATGTCTCTTCCAGGAAATTTGTTGTTAAGAGATTCGCGCATTTGAAAGGGACGCATGTCATTATTGGGGTCGATGTCATAAAGATACTCGCTCATACTAGCATCAATATGCTGGTATTCAGGAAATGTCGCCTGTGCTTCAATCTCGCTTTTTGCCAAAGGATGATTATGCTCTAGCACTTAGTCATCGTTACCAAACAATGTTGGCTCTTTGCATTTGCTAGGCAGGTAATGGACCGTACGCTTGGAGTGGCCCTGAACATGACGAATGACCCATTCACCAATAAGCTTTTCGAACGATGCATATGCACGCCAATTGCAGCCTGTTCCACGATGTTTTTTTGTTTCTTTGGCGACTCTCACCGACTTTGTCCTTGTAGACACTATGATTGCCACAGTAAAAATAGGCGCCATTGCACGGATCAGTCTTCCCTCTGTTTGGGTTGCCAACGTATGTAAATCCATGCGACTTCGTGTACTCAGTCATTGCCACTTTTACAGCGTCGAGGTCCTTGAAGACTTTTCCAACAAGAGGATGGCCATCAAAAGCTTCCAATTGATCCACAAGTTGTTTGGCTTTAGCTTCTTTAACGTTTGACATTTGGTTATCAAGCATTGATTTTCGCTCTATAGCAGCTGTAAAATTATGCAAGGAGAACCTGGTGAATTAAAGAGAGATGAACGAGACGGCATTCAATGCCTACGAGGAAGGTGGTGATAATGCAATGTAATACAAGCTTATGAGCACTTGGTCTAAGGCCGGATGAGATGTCACAAAAAGAAGATAGGGTCGAATCAAGTACTGTGAGACTGATGGTCATTGTTTTATTACGACATGGTTTCTTTTTATATTTGTACGGTGATCAAGGGTTTCAATAAATACATGGATGTGAGGATTATGCGCATAATGATGCAAGGGATGTTATTGATGGGGTGATCAACACCCTTTACTTATTATTGACACGACACCGGATGTGTAATCATAGCACTCAAAAACATTGCATTTATAGACACGAGAATGCCATGTTGTCAAATCGAATTTAGTTCATGCTTGTTAAACACTTTTTCCATCAACAAAAACGTGTGAAACTACATATATAATAAGTCAGCGTTTGTATTCATTATCTGCGACCACTAGCTTCTTCTAGCTGTAAGTAACGTAACGGAGTTTGCTTCGAGCAAGCTACTTCTTGTGCATAACAGCTTTCGCTACGGTAGCATGAATGCGAGAAATTCTACAAGGGTTGCGAGAAGAGATTGAATATGGGACGAGGGGGCTAGAGGAAAAAAAAGGCAATGACACAAAGCGGGTGCTATGTACCGCAAGTACCACCTATGCATCACACGTGAACAATGGCTGCGATTCCTTTTAAGAGAAAAGCCGCATACATGTGCAGGATGCAGGATACGAAAAAAAGTCGTAGCTGTAAGCAGGTGAAACGGGAGGCAGGGTAAGATGATGCTGGGGATGGTAAGGTGAGTGATACAAAATGCACCTTGTGCAACCGCTGTCAAGAGGTTGATGATGTAAAAGTCGTAGCTGTAAGCAGGTGAAAAGGGGGACAGGGTAAGATGATGCTGGGAATGATAATGACGAGTGATACAAAGTGGATCTTGTGAAACCGGTGTCAAGGTGCTGAGAATGTAAAAGTCGTAGCTGTAAGCAAGAAGAAAAAAGTCGTCGCTGTAAGGAAGAAAAGTCGCAGCTGTAGAAAGAAAGCGAGAGAGCAGGATAAAACACCAACAATACTTGAAAAGGATTGGTCGACCAGGTAGCGTATGTATTACTATGATTGAAAGTCCAGAGGGGAAAAACCGTAGCTGTAAGGGTGAGAAGCCGTAGCTGTAACAACTCTGAAGATAAAAGGGGTACTGCAAGAGAATAGGGAAAGGGATGAAGTCAAGAAGGAGAGCAAAAATGGGATAGCGCTTGTGAGATGTAACCCAGCCAACCAAAGAATCACATGACAAGATGCAAGATGACATTCACTCAATCCCTCATGATGTTGCTAAGCAACCATTATAACACATGTTCAAGTTCCCAAGATCACAAGTATATCATTCGTATATCACATTGTTGTGTACATAGATACTTCTTGAATAAAAACACGTGACATTAGCCTACATCAATATCAGGCACACATCCATGATAATCATTTAAGCACTTCTTCCGTTATCTAAGACAACGGTTAAACTATCCCTACATCATGAGTGGTCAACACAGGATTACCTAAGTAAGATGATCCATGGAAAGAGAATGAGATTTAACGTATAGCCAATAGCACATAGAAAAGAACAACCTCTTGGTAATCACACCAATGGCAATAATCCTCTCACGACTTGATCCGACATCTTAGAAAAGATCTTTCATTCTTATCATCATTTTCTCATCCGATACGTCCATGGAAATCTTTTCTTCATCCTAATCGTCTTCCCGTACAGCTGCAGTTTCAAATAGTAAAGATATAAAAGAACCATCATTTTGTCTTCAGAATAAACATCAATCTCAAAGGACTTATCCTTGCCCCTTTCTTGTGTTCTTTGTATCTTCGTTTATTTCATTTTTTCCTTTGAAAACCCTTGTTTGTTCTATCTACCATGGCCCCCAAGACTATCAAGAACGTACCTGAAAACACGGAGCAGTTGCCAGCCCAAAGCCAAGACCAGGTTTCACCCATGGAAGATGTCACTCCTACTGGTGAGGGTGAAACAACCCAACCCCAGCAACCTCAAGACCAGGAACCAGTTTCCCATGGACAGCCATCATCCAGCGACACCATTACCAGCAGCGTTTCCGCTTCTTCTGAGCCTCAAGTAGATGAGGAGGAAAAGCTGCGACAAGCCTTGGCTGATGCTTCTGCCGTTCGTTTCTTGCAGGATGGTGCCACGCCTGAGGTCCGCCAATCACGCAAGCGCCACTTTACCGAGTGCTTGGAGGACTTGAAGGCCTTTCAAGCTGCTAAACAAGCCCTGCGTCCTGCTACTGAGAAGGAGGTTGTGCCAAGGGACATGCCTGCTTTACAGCTTCGGGGTGGTCCAATTCGTTTTGAGGATCGCTCTATCCATGAGTCCATCAGTGCATTCTTTACCGCTTTTGAAGCCCAGCTTCATAGCTACAACCTTGTTTTTGATATGCATTGGGAGCGACTTTTCTGGCAGTGTCTTGACAACAATCAGCGTTCGTGGTTCCAGCGTTGTCTCTTTGGCAAAGGTTACTCTTGGTCTGGTGCTCAAGCCGTTATCGAGGCCGAGTATGGTAATCCTTGTCATGTGTGGTTGAAGCGTCAAGAGCTTTATGACTTGAGACAAGACCATGATCAATCCATCCGTGAATATGTGGAGGAGTTCCAGGAGTTGTCACGTGAAGCTGCCCGCCGTGAGGATGATCAATTGTGTGCCGACTTCATTTGTTCTCTTCTCCCTGCTGTTCGTGCCAGGTTGCATCCTGTTATCGCATCCACTTACCGTACTTCCGATCCCACCAACTTGCATGAAGTAGCCCAACTTGCCATCCGTACCACTGGTGAACATATGGAGTCTGCTTTGGGTGGTCGTCATAGCAAGAAGCAGCGCACAAGAGCCTCCAACAGCAACAATGGTCCCCATGGTCAAGCCAGCAGCAGCAATCCCTCTCGTCGTTCTCGCCGTGTTTATGGTGATTGTCCTATCCATCCTAAGGGCACCCATAGTCGTGGTGAGTGTGAGGTCCTTGGCCGCATTCGGGAACATCAACGCCAACAATGGTATGTCGCGCAAGGATCTTCATCCTCCGAGCCACCATCATCATCCGCAACTTCTGGCAACGATAATCAATGTCGTTTTTGCCGACAAGTTCCTTATTCACGTCAACACCTTGCTGAGTGTGATGCCTATCGACGTTTCAAGGCTGCGAGAGGTAAGGGCAAGCAAGTTGCTCATCGGGCTGTACACGTGCGGTACACGGAGCCTGGCACCTCATCATCAACATCCTCAAGTGCCAACAACAACAACAACATGCCTACCACCATGAGCCGTAACGATGCCATTCTTGATGCTGTCCTCCCTATCAAGTTGGCGGATATGGACATTACAGGTAATTGTCAACACACTTTTCACGCACTACAGGATAACACTTGTAACTCACTCGTTGTTGCTATCACGGTTCAGACTGAACAGGTCCTCGCTTTGGTCGACACAGGCGCCTCTAGATCATTTATCACACCGTCTTTAGCTAGAAAAATCAATGCTCATATTAATAAATCTGCTGTTTCTGATGTACACGTCTCGCTTGCTCAAAATGGTACCTCTGCAACTTTGCTTGGTCTTGTTGCTAATGTACAACTTGAATACGACAGTCGTTTTTGCAACCACGATTTCTTGGTTATGGATCTAGCAGGTGAAGCACCAGTTACCATTGGTCTTGACTTAATGCCCAAACTGCACATTGGCATTACCGGTTTAACAGCAACATGGAAAGCGCAACCGAAAGAAAAAGAAACGCCAATAAACGATGTCCCCGAGCCTAACAATTCTCCTGCAGGTTCCCACGCTCAGCGTGACGCATTCTTTAGCATTGTACAACCCACAATTGACAAGAATAAAGACATTCCTTTAGATAGCTTTTGCACTGTACCCGAGTCAATGATTTATCTTGATATGTATGATGATGCCACAGTAATCCATAAGCGCCAGTATCCCATTCCAGTTGCTTGCCTTGATAAGGTTCGTGAACAGGTCCAATCTTGGATCGATGATGGCGTGGTTGAAAAGGCACCTGTATCCACTATGTGGAACAGCCCTATCACATTGGCACCCAAAAAGGATCTCTTCGGTAATTACACTGACAAACGCCCTTGCTTAGATCCTCGACACATTAATAAAGTATTGATCACCCCGGATCGTCATCCGTTGCCTTTAATCAATGATATCTACCATGAATTGCAAGGTAGCAAGGTGTTTACCACCTTAGACCTTAAAAGTGCTTTCCACAGGTTTGAAATCTATGAACCACACAGACCTAAAACAGCATTCAAGGTTCCTGGCTTTCCACAGCTAATGTTTAAAGGTTGTCCTTTTGGACTCAAACCTATTTCTTCCACCTTCCAACGCACTATGAACATCATTTTCAATGATATGCCTTTCGTATCCACTTTCGTGGATGATATCATCATCTTTTCAAAGACTATTGAGGAACACGCTCAACATGTGGCTGCCGCCATTGAGAAACTTACCAGCGTCAACTTAATCCTCAACCCAAATAAATGTCACTTCGCTCAAAAAGCGGTCTACCTCCTTGGCTTTTGTGTGTCTGAACAGGGTAAATCTCTTGATGCACGCAAGGTTACTAATGTACAGGATTGGCCCACACCGCAAACTGGAAAAGACATCATGCGCTTTCTTGGGGTCATCAACTATTTTCGTGAACACATCCCAAAGGCCGCTGATTTAATGGCTCCCCTTGACAAGCTTCGATACGCCAATCGACTTGGTAAGCTTTGGGGTAATGTTGAACAACAGGCTTTTGACAACCTAAAAACAATCTTACATCAGGCACCTATTCTGTGCCACCCTGATCTTAACCATCCTTTTCAGGTTGCTACGGATGCCTCTAACTCTGGCATTGGGGCGGTACTTTATCAGGTAATCAATGGTAAAACACACCATATTGGCTTCATGGCACGCTCACTTTCTGCTTCGGAACGTAATTACTCCACTACTAAGCGTGAGCTACTCGCCATTGTCTTCGCTCTTAATAAATTTCATAAGTTTCTCTGGGGTAATCACTTCACTTTATACACCGATCATAAAGCATTGGTCTTTTTACATACACAAAAGATTGCCAACCCAATGATGCTTGGGTGGTTGGACACTATTCTTGAATACAATTTTAACATTGTGCACTTGCCTGGACTTGATAATACTTTACCTGATCAGCTTTCACGCCTTTTCCCTACGGCTAAAGAGCTGGCAGAGGGCAGTGCTACGCAAACGCATAGTAATCAACACACCTCTTACACAAATCATGCCATCGAGGTCAAAGGCAGCAACACCAATAATACCAACAGCGGTATGGATGATGGCACAGACGATATGTTTGTACCACCCGAATCTCAACGCAAGCAATTGCTACTTGAAGCACACGCTTTTGGTCTCTTTGGTGCTAAGGCAATGGTAGACTACCTCCATTCCAATGGTTTAACATGGGATAACATGCACCGTGAAGCACAGGGTATTGTACATAGCTGTGACAAATGTCAACGATACAACATCGGTAAAGTCGGCTATCACCCTTTACGTCCTATCCACGCTTACCTACCTGGTGATCACTGGGCAATTGACTTAGCTGGTCCTTTCGATACAAGCAATCGTGGTAACATTTACTTATTAGTTATGGTTGACGTATGCACGCGATTCTGCGTTTTACATGCATTGCCGGATAAATCATCCGATACAGTGGTACAAGTGGTTGTTCACACTTTTTGCGATTATGGTTTCCCCCGCTATTTGCAATCCGATAATGGCACTGAATTTGTTAATGCATTAATGCGTAAACTTACAGAGTCAGCCGGATTTGAGCATCGACTCGTTACACCTTATCATCCACGGGCCAATGGCTTGGCAGAGCGTTTCGTACAAACCACTGTCAATGTCATCCGTAAGTGCGTCCAAGGAGCAATCAAAGATTGGGACTTGTATGTGAAGCCTACACAACTTGCTCTCAACAATAAGGTTGCAGGTCGCCATGGGTCCACTCCTTTTGCTTTAATGTTCAATAGAGCCATGAACGGTGTCGTATTCTCAAGATCTCATCACCATCATCTTTCATACTCAGCAT